CTTAACTCTAAATGGCTTCATGCCATATCAGAACTGTGACCACTGAAACATTAGTATCAATTTCCAGTACTTATATTGGTGATCAATGATCTCGATAGAATAATAAAAAGAAGAGACAAAGCTGGAAGCATGGAGGGTTAGTGAACGTCCTCCTGAAGGAATTGAAACAGCTTGAAGAGCCCATTGTGCATCAAGTGGAGGTCGCTTCATTTGACATCTCATGTAAGTTTGGTAAGAAGCTGTCCCCAAGACCCAAACTTTGACTCCTGAGCTGCTATAATCATAAACCAACCTCCCTATCTCCTCCATTAGATGATCCCCCGCGCTGTAATTCAGTGAAGATGCGCTGTTACCGCCACCCCAGACTACCCAATTCAGATCTCCAAGCCAAACTATCACACCTTCACTATCCCCAAGATGTGAAAGAATCAATTTTCCTCTTCAATTCCATCACTTTTCATCCTCCTTCATGAAATTCAACCCACTTGCGAAAACTGAGACGTGATGAAATGAGTTTGCTTGAAATCAACTGGAATGAGTAATGCAACCACTTCTTCTGTGACTTGATCACAGGGTCTCCAACTCAGACTCTCTGTTTCAGACTCAGCTTTGATGATCCTAGTGTGAGTAGAATGACGAGTAGACTTTAACCGCTAAGAACGGGTGGTTTTGTTGGTTCTGCTGCTGTTCCATACCTGTTCCATTTCTTCCTCAGTCCACTCAATTCGTCCTGCAACTTAAAACCACAAAAGAAAAACAGCTCAAGTAACTGCAGAAAAGCTGATAACAAAAACAATAATTGTTCATTAATCAACGAAATTTGTACCTTTTGGTTTAAATGTTAAGAATTCTTTCTCATAGTGAAAAGCACATTCTCCACAGAAATTGAGTTTATCGTCTTCCTCTTGATCTCTTGGTCCATCTTCTTCTTCCTTAACTCTTAACATCACTTGAGAAGCCATCTCAGAACTGTGACCACAGAAACATCAATTAATTTAATATCGAGCACGAGTACTTAAGTTGGTGATCAATCATGTGGAAAACTAATAAAAAGAGACAAACCTGGAAGCATGGAGGGTTAGTGAAAGTCCTCCTGAAGGAACTGAAACAGCTTGAAGAGCCCATTGAACATCAAGTGGAGGTTGCTTCATTTGACATCTCATGTATGTTTGGTAAGAGGCTGTCCCCAAGAGCCAAACTTTGGCTACTGAGCTGCTATAATCATACACTAATCCTCCAATCTCCTCCACTAGATGATTCGTACCACCGCGCCAGGCTGCCCAATTCAGATCTCCAAGACAAACTTGTGAAAACCGAAACTTGATGAAATGAGTTTGGTTGAAATCATCTGGAACTTCTCCTCATGAGTTTGGTTGCAACCAATCCTTCTGTTAGAGACATAGAGTCTCCAACTATGACAGTGTTCCTCTTCTTGGTGTTCTTCTTCCTTAGAAGCACCTCTATGACCGGGTTCCAGTCTTCTCGATCTAGAGTAAAGATCTTTCCTTAAGGGAAATGGAAAAAGGGTTTCACTCAAAAGAGTGATGTTTGGACAAATGAGCATGCCAGATCTTACTAGGGTTAGGGCTTAAAGTCCCTCCTTGATTGTTTTCACT